GAGGAAGTGTGTGTGTGTGTGTGTGTGTGTGAGAAGAGAGAGAGAACGTTATCTTGGATTACACTGGGCGTACTGGAGAGAGAGAGAGAGTGAGAGAGAGAGAGAGAGAGACAGAACGTTATCTTGGATTACACTGGACGCATTGCTTGTGGAAGTGGAAGTCTGTGCGCGCGCGCGCGCGTGTGTGTGTGTGTGTGTGTGTGAGAACATTGTCTTGGAGTACACTGGGCGGCCTGCTTGCGGACGAGGAAGTGTGTGTGTGTGTGTGTGTGTGTGTGTGTGAATGTTATCTTGGATTGTACTGGGCGTACTTCTTGTGGAAGAGAGAGATAGAGATAGAGAGAGAGGGAGAGAGAACGTTATCTTAGATCACACTGGGCGCACTGCTTGTGTAAGAGGGAGGGAGAGAGAGAGAGAGGACGTTATCTTGGATTACACTGGGCGTACTGCTTGTGGAAAGGAAGAGAGAGAGAGAGAGAGAGAAAGATAGAGAGAGAGATAGAGAGAGATAGAGAGAGAATGTTATCTTGGAATACACTGGGCGCACTGCTTGGAAGTGAGAGAGAGAGTGACAGACAGAGAGAGAGAGCGACCGCTGTGTTCACGTATTGAATGGACTCATTAGAGTTAGTTATTTCTGGGTTGAGTGTGAGTGGCGTTAAAAGGGAAGGGGCTAGTGCATTGCTATCCATCTGCAATATCTTAATCGTGGTGCGTGGTTGTGTGAAGGCCTGCAGCTTTCAGATTATAACGCAAATCCGTACGTGTAGTGAGGAAGTCCGCCGCTGTCAAGGCACACGGTACTTTTAGTATAACAGCCGGTAGATGTCTGAATAGGCACTAATATATATATGAACCCATCCGTTCTTATCTTTTCTCGATGTAGTATGATAGCCAGTGGATGTCTGAATAGGCACTAATATATATATATGAACCCATCCGTTCTTATCTTTTTGATTACAAACCCTAAGAACCTAAAACAGATCTCTGCAATTGGACTAACGGACCACTGTTATGTTCACATCATCTGATATTGCAGTCTCGACTATTGGCAGATTTATATTTATATGAGTTTTTTAGGGTTTATTTATATATATATTTTTTTGTAACATGAGTGGGCGAAGGAACAGGTGCATGGCCTTGGGATGGGCCAATAAAAACAAAATAACAATCGATCTAGTATTTCTGGTGCCCGCTTTGTACTTATCGTATTGCTTAAATAAATTGCAAGTTTCGAAACAAAGGTCCACACGTAAGATTTAATTTCTAACATAGGAAACCAAGAGTTTAGGGTTTAGGGTTTTGACATTAGGGTCTTGACACAGGTACCCAAGACGGCTTATTTGCTACACGTAAAAAAGGTCAGCCTGAGGTTGATGAGCACATACTCACACCATCAGGCCCACCTTCAGTCTTGAAGGTATCGAACTGCTAGATTAATAAGCGTTCACATAGGGTTTCAGGGTTTTAAGGTTTTATCACAGCTGGCAGGAGATGCCACTCCCTCGTTAACCATCGCATAACAGACCCATACTTAGTCAACTGAGCTTTACTACTATAACACAGTTTGCACTTTGTTAACCATCACATAACAGACCCATACTTAGCCAACTAAGCTTTAGTACTACAACACAGTTTGCAGTTTGTTAACCATCACATAACAGACCCATACTTAGCCATCTAAGCTTTACTACTACAACACAGTTTGCAGTTTGTTAACCATCACATAACAGACCCATACTTAGCCAACTAAGCTTTAGTACTACAACACAGTTTGCAGTTTGTTAATAATCACATAACAGACCCATACTTAGCCAACTAAGCTTAACTACTACAACACAGTTTGCAGTTTGTTAACCATCACATAACAGACCCATACTTAACCAGCTAAGCTTTACTACTGCAACACAGTTTGCCATGCCTATTTGTATTAGTATTACTAGTACAATCGACTAAACCTATCTGTGATAACGTGATCAGTAGTGCGCAGTACAGCCGAGAGCGCTATTCAGATAGCTATGAGACTTGGCCGGGGTGTGATGTGCTTACGGGGACGTATTCAGTGAGTAGACCCAACGGTACCGATGTTTTTTTTGGGGGGGGTTTAGGACTCTAGGGGTTCTGGGATTAGCTAAACACTAGAACCCTAGGTAGTTTTTGGACTTATATCACCGAGTAGTTTCGCATTTAGCACTGGACTAGGATCACCTGAGTAGTGAAGCAACCGCTAATTCTTCATCTTGTATTTACCAGTAAAATCAACTCACTATACTATTTATGACAGACCAACACAACGCCCACCATGACAAAGTATTAGTAGTATTTCGCAAGACAGCTTAGCTTCAGCATCGAAAGGCCGTTTATTTAGCCTTGTCAAGACACCAAAAAGGCCACTAAATCCACTTCAACCACCAGCTCAGCCCTAACTCGCCTCCGTGAACTCTATATCAATAATCGCCTGTATGCTGGCGTAGTCCGGTATACTCCTGGTCACATCTGCGGCGATATTGAATGCACTCACAGTACTGAAGAACGGCACCAGATCGCTTGCGCTCGACACCTCTCTCATAGTCAGCAAGGGGCCTCTCGCGCCATGCTCGAAGTCCGCCAACTCCACCCCACTGGCGCCTATGTCTGGGCTTATACCGTCGCTCAGGGCATCGCTGAGGCGGGCCATATAGGACGCAAACACACCCAGATCCCTATCGGCAGGTGCTTGGGTGGTAGGGTTGTTGGGTTTGGTGGGCACAGACAGCTGTGATTGGGGGGTGGGGGTGTTGGGTGCTTCGTGGATGATCTCATCCACAAACATCCACTGATGCAGATGACAGATTTGCACTGTGGAGAGGTATGAGGATCAGATACTTAGCTTAGAACATAACACACAGACAGAGCATAAAAACTAAGCTTAGAACATAACATAACACACAGACATCGCAAAGTTTCGATTTACACAACGAAATGAACAGGCCAAACGAAGAGATGTAAATTCAAAGGGAGCGATGGTAGCCGCTAAACGCTAAACGCTAAACGCTAAACGCTAAACGCTAAACGCTAAACGCGAAACGCGAAACGCGAAACGCGAAACGCGAAACGCGAAACGCGAAACGCGAAACGCGAAACGCGAAACGCGAAACGCGAAACGCGAAACGCGAAACGCGAAACGCGAAACGCGAAACGCGAAACGCTAAACGCGAAACGCGAAACGCGAAACGCGAAACGCGAAACGCTAAACGCGAAACGCGAAACGCGAAACGCGAAACGCGAAACGCGAAACGCTAAACGCTAAACGCGAAACGCGAAACTGGAAACAGAGTGATTTAAGGCACTCACTCTCCACTGCTCACGCGAATAGGAATGTCAACCGCTGAACAGTTGGACTGCACCCGAAACCATCACACACCGTTGCCATGGACGAAAGCGCAAGAAGCGCTGAGACTATGAGTAGACTGTCAAAAACAGATGCAGACATAAAGTGTCACGTGTCACGTGTCAAGTGTCAATGTCACGTGTCGCACAGAACGAACAAAGATCACACAAACAAAATGCAACGGAGGGTTTCAGGATTTTTAGGGTTTTCTGATGGGAAAGAGTTGTAGCCGATTAACGATTAACGCATCAACAGCTAATGTCACTCATTGCATGACCAAGGATCACAGTAGCTGCATTAATCAATACAATTGCATCGACCCACCACAAACACTACACACAGAAGGATCACAGTAGCTGCATTAATCGATACAATTGCATCGACCCACTACAAACATTACACACAGAAGGATCACAGTAGCTGCATTAATCGATACAATTGCATCGACCCACCACAAACACTACGCACTACGTACAGACGGCCCCTAAATGCCACACAGTACACTAAACAGTTAGCTAAACAGCCGACTATCGTACCATACCATCAGTGTCTGCATGCATGCGCATGAATACTGTCGTATCGGGCCATGTGCACGTACACCCATGCATACACACACACACACACACACACACACACACGACAC